CCCTTTGTGCAGGAGGAGGGTGGAGGGAAGGGGGAGAAATAGCAGGAAGAACTGGACTCTGTTTCCTAATAAGCCCCAAACACAATGCAGGATGGGTTCTCTGCTCTCAGTTCTTCGCCAAGAGCCCTCAAGGCCTCTACTAACTTTTGCATCCTTATTGGTCTCATTTTGTGTGGCTGGGCACTCTCAGATTCTACCGGAGAGGCCCCTGTCCGTTTTGACAGGTTCCCATACTTCAGTCAACCTTGGCAACTTATTCGCCACTATTCTCTGTGTCACATCTGACTTGTTCTCTTTCAGTCTTTTTTTTTTTAGAGATTCATTTATTTTGTGGCCTGGCACAGTAGACTAGCGGCTAAAGTCCTTGCGTTGCATGCACTGGGATCCATATGGGCGCCAGTTCTAATCCCGGCAACCTGCTTCACATCCAGCTCCCTGCCTGTAGCCTGGGAAAGCAGTCATGGATGGCCCAAAGTCTTGGGACCCTGCACTCACGTGGGAGACTCAGAAGAAACTCCTGGCTCCTGGCTTTGGATTGGCACAGCTGCAGCCATTGTAGCTGCTTGGTGAGTGAACCATCGGACGGAAGATCTTTCTCTGTCTCTCCCCTTCTCTGTGTTTCTGACTTTCCAATAAAAATAAGAAGTAAATATTTTAAAAAATATATAAAATATTTTATTTTATTTTTAAACCGTTTAAATAGTTGAGACGAATTCATGCCCATGTGGGTCTCCGGTTAGGGTGGGGATGGTAGAGGTATGGAGGAAGGTGGGTGAAACAAACATTTCAGTTCTTTTTTTTTTTCTCTTGTATCCTCTTCGGGGAAGGGGAGGGGACCACTCCTTGCTTTCAAACTACATCAACACTTAGGGATTGGGACAGTCATTTGATGAGGCCTTAGACACCCCAATGTGGGGAAGTGTTCCAAGGGTGTTACGTAAGTGCTTTTAATAGCTCTGAGACATTGTTGGCTTTGTTGCAGCAGGGCTGGTAAAGTCTTTCCAAGGTCTATTGGCTAATCAACTCCACCTTAGTGCCTTCACCATGTGCCTGTAGACCCAGGAACATGTTGCAAAGCTTGGCTAGGAGAATGGTCCAACTTGTTCTGCTTTCCATCTTCTGATGAGGCATTCAACATCCTCTGCTTGCCTAGATGAGTTGGCTGCCATGTCCCCTGTGTACATCCAGACATTGTCCACTGCACAGGCATCAGCAACTGAGGAGGCCCAGCAAGGGAGGTCCCCAAATTCTTCTCCCAGGTCTGCTTCCAACCTATATCTCACCCGTGCCCATGGGTGCCACTGCCCTGCTTGGCATGGTCCATCCTCAGTCCTGTTCTTTGCATGTGCTGGGCAGTGCTGCAGCCCCGTCCAGCCTCTCCCAGCTCCAGCTCCTACAAGTGTCAGGTGTGTTCCATGGTCCAGCCTGGCACACTCCATCACCACCCTCAGCTCTCTGCACAAACTGGCAGGTGCTACATAGTCCCACAGAGGTGAGTCCACATCTCCCCTTAAGAATCTGCTTCCAGATCCAGTTCTCTCACGTTCTGGTGGGTGCTGTGGCCCATCCTAATGTGTCCCCTGCCTACCCCCTCCCTGCTCTGTGCCCCTTTCCCACTGTCTGCTAAGGCACGCCTGAGAGGTGGCAGGTGATGAGGTCTGCCCTCGGCCCCTGTCACCTACATGGGAGACCAAGGTGGACTGCCCTGCTCCTGGCTTTAACCTGGCTCAGGCGACATTTGAAGCGTGCACAGCAAGCAGATAGGAGATGTCTCTGTGTTGCTTTAAGTTCTTAAAAAAAAAAAAAAAAGTAAAAGGGAGATCTCTCACAAGGGCGTGGGGTGGTGTGGGATATCGTATCCAGGGATATGCTCAGGAATCTGGTCCGGGGCTGGGGGAGCAGAGGGGCGGCGCAGGGTTTGCCCCTGGCTGGCACCTGAGGCCTCGCACACGTCGTGTGGGTGCAGGAACGAACTTCCCACCCCCACCCCGGCACCCTAACTAGTGCGATCAGAGGGGATGCACCCTACGTGCGCGCTGGGAACGGTCCATGTTCCGTGCCCTCACTGTGCTTCCACGAACTGACGATATCGCGGGGGCGCCCTTCCGGAGGGTCATTATCGACCTCGGCAGAGGACCAAACGGACACGGCTGGCCTCCTCCGCCCTGCCAGGGCCCCGCCGGCTGCAGCTCTTGGGCGCCCCAGGCGGTCCCCTGGTGGCCGGCCTGGGCGTGGCCTGCTTGGGTGGGGGACTGTGTGCGTCTGCGCCTGGTGGACGCTGTTGCGTGTCACAGAGGGCGTGTGTGTGTGCGTGTGTGTGCGCGCGCGCGCGCGCGCACGCATTGGCCTACCCAGCGCCTGGCTGTGTGCCTCTTCTCGCTCCTACTGACCCAGAGTCAGCCAGACGTCTGGCCTCTGTAGCCTGATGTCAGGTCAAGGCCCCTGTCCCTTAGCCGGGTAGGGCGAGGACTACTCCAGGGCACCTGGCTACTCCCCTGTTTCTTGTTTGGCATGCAGATCCTGCACCGGGGTTTGCTGTCCTCCCACCTTGTCCCACCGTGCTCTCCAACCCCTGGGACCCAAGACCTGGGTCCCCCAGTCCCTGAACTCTTTGAATATGCCTCCCCATGTTAAGCTTTGTCTTTATTCTGTCCCGTGTATGTAGCAGGCCAAGGACACTCCTAGGACACCCCAGAGGGCCCTGCTGCAGTGGCCGCCCTCTCTGTCCCTCCACCCCAGGGCTGGTGGCCAGAGCGCAGCTCTCCCATCTCTGGGCACCCAAGGGCTTCCTTCCTCAGGGCCTTAGCACTCACCACTCTCCCCTCCCATACTTGTTCTGCTGGCTCTTTCTCATCCTTCCCATTTCAGTCATCACCTGGAAGAGGCAGGTGTTTGGGCCAGCAGTGAAGAGGCCCGCCTACCAGGGCTGGCGAGCTGAGACGAGCTGAGACGCCGCCCAAGAAGCCACATGCCACATCAGGGTGCTGGGTTGAATTCAGACTGCTAATGAACTTGAGAAGGTAACAGAAGATGGCTCATGTACTTGGATCCCTGTCAACTATCTTGGAGACTAGGATGGAGGTCCTTGCCCCTAGATCCAGACTGGCCCTGGCTGTTAGGGCCATTTGGAGGGTGAACTAACAGGTAGAAGAGTGAGGGCTCTTTTAAGGAAACAAAGCAAAACAAAAACAAACCAACAAAAAAGGATTTGCTATCAGTGTTCAGTGCCACCCAGAGCTCCTGAATCCATCTTCCTGTTAAATGCAAACCTGGGGAGACAGCAATGATGGCTCAAGTAAGTTAGAGTTCCTGCCACCCACATGGGAGGCCTGATTGAGTACCTGGCTCCTGGCCCAGCCCAGTGGTTGTAGACATGAGGGAAGTGAGCCAGCAGGTGAATGGGTGTTCTCTGTCTTTTGTAACTAAATGAATAGGGGCTGGCATTGTGGCACAGCAGGTGAAGACACCACCTGTATTGCCTGCATCCCTTATGGGTGCCAGTTTGAGTCCTGGTTGTTCCACTTCCAAGCCAGCTCCCTGCTAATGCACCAGGGAAAAGCAGCAGAAGATGGTCCACCTGTATTGAAGACTTGGAAGAAGCTCCTGCTCCTGGCCCAGCCCTGGCCTTTCTGGCTATCTGGAGATTGAACCAGTGGGTGGAAGCTATCTCTCTCTCTCTCTCACTCTGCCTTTCTAATAATTAACTGGGGCACGGTTCCATGGCCTAGTGGCTAAAGTCCTCACCTTGAACGCGCCGGGATCCCATATGGGCGCTGGTTCTAATCCCAGCAGCTCCACTTCCCATCCAGCTCCCTGCTTGTGGCCTGGGAAAGCAGTCAAGGACGGCCCAAAGCCTTGGGACCCTGCACCCATGTGGGAGACCTGGAAGAAGTTCCTGGATCCTGGCTTCGGATCGGCATAGTATCGACCCGTTGCGCTCACTTGGAGAGTGAATCATCGGACGGAAGATCTTTCTGTCTCTCCTCCTCTCTGTATATATGACTTTCCAATAAAAATAAAAAATAAAAATAATAATAAAAATAATTAACTGAATCTTTAAATGTACACCATATTCTCTCCCCCTCCTGACTTGTCATCCGTTGCTTCATAACACTTATACAAAGCTTGCAGCTGTATATTTCTATGACTTAGTTATCATTTTCCCTCACCATCCCTGTGTCCTCAGGGCTTGACACAGAGGAGGGTGAATGGGCAAGGGATCCCCAAAGGTAGGATGACTGGGGTGTTGTCCAGGTCTCTTCACAGCTGGAGCAAGCTGCAAAGTGAAGGCAGAGGAGTGCCCATAGGGGAGCACCCCAAACCCTCCTGTGGGGCATGAAGCAAAGACACCCAGCAAGAGGGAACTTCCATATACAGGGAGCTGCCCTGAGGTCTCATGGCAGGTGGCAAAGGCCAAAACCCATCCGGTTGGGTGTGTCTGCAGTGAGGGGCTCTGTGAGAGTTCAAAGGCCATGGCCACAGTCAGCATGCTCTTTGAGCACTTCAGAAATCATCTAGAAACCTGTATCAATGCCTGACACTGCTCACGGCCCCAGCTTGGGTTCAAGTCCACAGGAATAGACTAGTGGGGTCAGTGTGACCCAGGCTGCTGCCTTTGCAGGAGCAAAATGTGGAAGAGAACCCAGGGCGTGGGCTGCACTCGCCTCCCCGTCCCCGGGATCCCCTTCCTTTTCTGAAAGTGGGCCCAGACTCACAGAAGTATGACCTCTGTCAAGTACAAAGAAGACATTGTGGTCCCTGGTGTCCAACCACAGAAGCAGCAGCTCTGGTCAAGTGTATGAGCAACGTGACTCCCCTGGGAAGGAGGACGGGTATCAGACAGAGGAAGCAGGGTGGGGGAGCAGCAAGTGGGCAGACCTGGGGGAGGGACCGAGTGTGGGGACGGGGCTGCCTGCTGGGTGTGCCCCTGTGCTATTCTCTGGCTCCCTTAGATAAGACCATCAGTTTTGTGAGCAAACCCTCCCGCTTTGCAGGTCCCAGTTCCACATCGGGAACATGTCAGTGCAGGAGGACACACCACCCCTGCCGCTGTGGTCATGGGTCTCTAAGTCCCAAAAAGACTTAGCCAAATCCTTCCTGATTGGGGCTCCAGGAGGTAAGGGGCAAGCAGCGCGTGCACATGGAAGCCTAGGGGGCAATGAGGGCAGGAATCTGGAGTAGGGGTAGAGGGGACTCCCACTACTGTAGGAGGCTTTGGGGGATCCAGGTCTGTGAGAGGCTCCCCTGCTATAAATTCTGGACCCTGGTCAAGGCGTCTTGTCCCAGGACTCACAGGCAAGCCAGAGATGAGGCTGCCGCATGGGTGCCACGGGGCACTCCTGTGGCTGCTGGACTCTGGCCCTTGGCATACAGGGCTGCCGCTGCCGGCAAAGACACTAGTGACACTTTAACTAGTCTCCAGGCCCAAACTCCCCCCTTCTGCTGCCCTGCCCAGCCAGGCTTCTATCTCTGACAGCCTCACACTGCCAAGCAGACCTGCAGAGGCTGCAAAGTGTGCTAGTTGCATGGAAGGTGCGCCTGGGGACCAGGCTTCTTGGGGGTGGGCTGCTCAAGGGATTGCAACACCTGGGCCTAGAGGGGAGTGCTAAGATGGGCTGGGGGAACCTAGAGAAGGTGGTGGGGAACAGGTAGCTGGAGGGGAAGAAGGAAAGGGGAACCTTGAGAGAGCAGCTAGGGGGTTCTGAATGTGCACAATGAGGAGACCCCTGTGGGGCTTGGCATCAGGAGGGCTGAGGCTGTGGGGAGCAGGCAGCTGAAGACCGGAGTTGGAGGAGTTAGCACAACTTCATGGCCAAGAACTGCAGCCCAGAGGCAGACTGAAGCTTGGATTGCAGCCCTTCTGTCAGAAGCTGTATGATCTGGGGGTGATTTACTGCATCCCTATCAGCCTCTGCTTCCTTGTCTGTAAAATGGGACTGAGTCCCAAGTGCTTTAGGGGAAGTGCCTGGTAGGATGCTGGTGTTAGTGTATTGTGAGCCTGTGATGCTTAGCTCCCCGGAACCACTCCGGGTATGCCCCGGTGCACAGGGAAGGACCAAGAAGTCTGCAGGGAGGCAAATGCGCAGAGGAAAGGCAGGCAGCCCCTCCTCACAGCCCCTGATCTTCTATGTCCCCGCCACCACAGGACCAGCTGGGTACCTGCGGCGAGCCAGTGTAGCCCAGCTCACCCAGGAGCTGGGCACGACCTTTTTCCAGCAGCAGCAACTACCGGCAGCCATGGCAGACACCTTCCTGGAACACCTCTGCCTGCTGGACATTGACTCAGAGCCCGTGGCTGCCCGTAGCACCAGCATCATCGCCACCATCGGTAAGCACTGTCCCAGCCCCCACATGAGGGATCCCTGGGCGTGGTGGAGGGGAGTTGATTCTGAAGGCGTTCCCTTACCGTTGTCTCCTTGTAGATGTCTCTGTTTGGCCCTGGCTGAGGCCATTCATTCAACAGCTGTGAGTGGAGTACTTGCTCATCAGGGTTGGAGCCCTGAGGGTGGCGCTCTTTCTCTCTCTCTCGCTCTCTATCTCTCTCTCTCTCTCTCTCTCTCTCTCTCTCTCTCTCTCTCTCTCTCTCACACACACACACACACACACACACACACACACACGTTCCCTGGAGGAACTGACAGTTTAGTTGGGTGGGGCAATAAGTAATAAACAATAAATGATTAAACAGTAAATCATTTAGCATGTTAGAAAGTGATGCTATGAGGAAAAAAAGAAAATAGAATGTGGTAAGAGACTTCATGGGGTGCTGAAGGGGAGGAGAGTGGTTGCTGCCCCTAAATAGCAATCAAGGTCCCTGTTATTAGGGAAATGAAGCCTGAGCAGAGAGTCAAGGAGACAGGAGAGGGAAGAATCAGACATAATGGGGCAGGGCGCATACCGGGAGGTGGGGGCAGACAGAGCAAGGAAGCCAGAGCAGCAAGAAATTGTTTCAGGGTAGAGGGGCAGGAAGATGGGTTCAAGTGCAGCCTCTTAAATATTTATTTATTTCATTTGATTTGAAAGGTAGTGGTGGAGAGTGGGAGAGGGGAGAAAGAGTGACCTGCTGTACAGGCCCCTCACTCCAAATTCCTGAACAGCTGGGATAGAAACAGGAGCCAGGAACTCCAGCAGGGTTTCCCACATGGAAGGCAAGCACCCCAAGCTCTTGGGCCACCACCTGCTGCCTCCTGGGGGTGTGCCTTAGCAGGCAGCTGACTCCGAGGCAGAGTCGCTGCAGCTAGAACCAAGCACGGTGAAGTGGGCTGCGGGTGTCCCCAGAGGAGACATAACCACAGCATCAGCAAGCATCCTCCATCAGTGCATCTTTGCACTTTCAGAATGTGAGTCGGAGGTAGGAGGGGGGTGGTGCTGTGGCGAAGTGGGCTGGGCCTCCACCCATAGCACCAACATCCCATAAAGTCAATGGTAAGAAAAAAAAAAGAAAGAAAGTAAATATGACATATAGTCACTGATTTCAGTCTTGGACACTACTTCCAATATGGCTCCCCATTGATGACCTGGGAAGGTGGTGGAGGATGGGCCCCTGCACCCACATGGAAGGTTGGAAGGAGACTCCTGGCTGCTGGCTTCAGACTGGCGCAGCTCTGGCCGTGGCAGACATTTAGGGAGTAAAGCAGCAGGTAGAGGATCTCTCTCTGTCTCTTGCTGTGTGACCCTTGCCTTTCAGATAAAATAATAACACTAATAAAGGGGGACTCCCCCACAATGGTTTGAATTGTGTCCCCCTCCAAAGGAAACAGACCTACAGCACAGGGGGCAGGCAAGCTGAGGCTTCCATTCTGGGAGAATCACCCTGGCTGCTGGATTGAAAATAGTTTGGAGGGGGGCGGGGGCGAGGGCCAGGGCAGAAGCGGCTGCTGCAGTATTTCTGTCTCGGCCCAAGTGGTGGCCGCGGAGGTGGTGAGAAGTGGTCAGATCCTGCATGTGGTCTGAAGGGAGAGCTGCCAGCAGGCCCTGATGGAGCAGATCTGCTTGAGGTGTGGGCGAAGAAGCAGGGAGGCCAGGCTGACTGCAAGGCTTTTAGTCTGAGGGCCCGGGAGGATGCTTTAGCAGGTGGTGGGACACTTTGTGGGGAGATCAGGAGTGTGTTAGGACGTGCTGAGTTTGCAAAGCATGGGAAACATCTAGAAGGGATATGGAATAGGCGGGCAGAGCTGCAGCTCTGGGCTTGGGAGCAAGGTCTGGGTTGGAGCTGGAAATCTGGGAGCTGCCTGAGTGGAGGTGGTGTCTCAGCCACAAGGCCAGGGAAACTCTGCAGGAGAGTACAGGTGGGATGCTGCAGCCAATGGGAAATGAGCCAGAGAATGGAAACTGTCATTCTATATTTGAAATAAATAAAACATTGCATTTTTTAAAAATTAATTTATTTGTTATTGGAAAAGGTAAATTCACACAGAGAAGGAGAGACAGACAGATCTTCCATCCTCTGGTTTACTTCTCAAGTAGCTACAAAGGCCAGAGCTAAGCTGATCTGAACCCAGGAGCTTCTTCTGGGTCTCCCACGTGGGCACAGGGTTCCAAGGCTTTGGGCCATCCTCCACTGCTTTGCTAGGCCACAAGCTGGATGGGAAGTAGAGCAGCCGAGACACGTATCAGCACACAAATGCGATTCTGGCAGATACAGGGTAAGGATTTAGCCACTAGGGTATCGTGCCAGGTCCTGCATATTTTTAATACAAAAAAAATTAAACCCTCATATTTAGCCACCAACCCAGGGTTTCTTGATGACCTTGACCAGGGGCAATTAGGAGAAATAGGCCAACATGTGCCTGGAAGAGGTTCAGGGGAGAATGAGTAGAGGGGGAGTGGAGGCAGCAGGTCCAGGTGACTCCTGCAAGCAGGTGTGCTGCTGAGCAAAGAACAAAGACTAGGGTGGTGGCAGAGCAAGGTGGCACTGTGGCATGGCAGGTCGACCAAGAGACGCTGATGTCCTGTGTCAGAATACAGATTCCAGTTTCTGCTACTCGCTTCCCGTTCAGCTTCCTGCTAACGCACCTAGGAAAGCAGCTGGAGGTGGCTAAGTGCTTGGGCCCCTGTACCTACGTGGGAGACCCGGATGGCGTTCCCAGTTCCTAGATTAGAGCTTGTCTAGATCTAACTGTTGCGGCCATTTGGGGGAGGGAATCAGAGGATGAAAGAGCTCTCTCTTTGTCTTACTTTCTCTCTGCTGCCTTTTCAAATACATTAGTGAAATTAAAATAACTTGGCCTGGCACGGTAGCCTAGCAGGTAAAGTCCTCGCCTTGGACATGCCAGGATCCCATATGGGCACAGGTTCTAACCCCTGCAGCCTCACTTCCCAACCAGCTCCCTGCTTGTGACCTGGGAAAGCAGTAGAGGACGGCCCAAAGCCTTGGGACCCTGCACCCGTGTGGGAGACCTGTAGGAGGTTCCTGCCTCTTGGCTTCAGATTGTTGCAACTCTGGCCATTGTGGTCACTTGGGGAGTGAATCATCGGATGAAAGATCTTCCTCTCTTTCTCTTTTCCTCTCTGTATATCTGACTTTGCAATGAAAATAAATTAATTAATTAATGGAAAGAACCAGGACTGGAACGGATGAAAAATAGCAGCAGGCTTACATGTGGCTGGGAAAGATACAAGAAAAAGAAAAAAAAAAGAAAGCAGTGGAGGTCTGCAAGGCCCAAGAATGGCCTGTTGTGGTAGCCTAGTGGCTAAATCCTCACTTTGCATGTGGCAGGATTCCATATGGGCACCGGTTCATATCCCAGATGCTCCACTTCCCTTCCAGCTCCCTGCATGTGGCCTAGGAAAGCAGTCAGGGACAGCCCAAAGCCTTGAAACCCTGTGCCTATGTGGGAGACCTGGAAGAAGCTCCTGGCTTCAGATCAGCTCAACTCTCGCTGTTATGGCCACTTGGGAAATGTAGCAGTAGGCAAAAGATCTTTCTCTCTGTCTCTTCTCTTCTCTGTATAACTGCCTTTCCAATAAAAATAAAATAAAGTAAAATAAATGTTCAGAAAGAAAGAAAGATGGGTGGAGGAGGCAGGATCAGCATGTGGAGGCAGCCTTATACAGTTTAGAGGCGGTTACAAGAGAGACAACTGCCATCTGCTGGTTCACTCCCCAAATGACCTCAATGGCTAGGTCCCAGCCACAAGCCAGGAGCTTCATCCAGGTCTCTCAGGTGGGTGCAGGGTCCCAAGGCTTTGGGTTATCCTCTACTGCTTTCCCAGGCAGATTAGCAGATAGCTGGATGGGAAGTAGAACAGCTGGAGCTCTAACCAGAGATACCACTGCTGCACCGCCCCAGTCTGCCCCTAACCTGCAACACTTTGCCAAGTTACCTCAGGCCTTGCAGGGGACACCACTTCCAGGAATCCCACAGTATTGCCTCCCCATGGAGAGGGAAAGGGAGGCTGTGTGACCTGCGAGCAGGGGTTGAGCAGGGCGGCCATGAGTTTGTCACCCAGGTTTGGGTGAGTACCATCTCGGGTTACAGGGCCAGCATCTCGCTCTGTGGAGCGCCTCAAGGAGATGATCAAAGCTGGGATGAACATCGCCCGACTCAACTTCTCCCACGGCTCCCATGAGGTGTGGGGCAAGGAGGGGTTGGAGATGGAGGGGATGTGGGTGGGGCTCCCGCGGAGGCCCCCAAATCCTAGGCACCTGGCCCTCAAATTCACGGTCGGTTCCCCCTCTCCACCTATCCCTCGCTCCCAGTACCACGCTGAGTCCATCGCCAACATCCGGGAGGCAGTGGAGAGCTTTGCGACGTCTCCACTCAGCTACCGGCCGGTGGCCATCGCCCTGGATACCAAGGGACCTGAGATCCGCACTGGAGTCCTGCAGGGGGTGAGAGGCCGCCTGGCAGCACCGAGTCCGTGAGGAGAAAGGGCTGCAGAGTCTGGGCGAGGGGCAGGACTGGGGCGCTAGGTTCCAGGCTCACATCCTTGTCCCACTGCGCTTCTCCTCTAGGGCCCTGAGGCCGAGGTGGAGCTGGTGAAGGGTTCCCAGGTGCTGGTGACTGTGGACCCGGCCTTCCAGACTCGGGGGGACGCGAGCACCGTGTGGGTGGACTACCCCAACATCAGCCGTGTCGTGGCAGTCGGGGGCCGTATCTACATTGACGACGGGCTCATCTCGCTTGTGGTGCAGAAAATCGGTGCGCACGTCCTCCTGCCCTCACCATTCCCCAGGCAGGCGCACCTTCCACCCGTCCCTGGGGTCCCCCAGTGGTGGAACACCGGGGGCAATCACCCTGGGTGGCAGGAGGCCCCCCATAGCCATTCGGTGCGAGGAGGGGTCCCTGAGCGAGGACGGGGAGAACCTGACCTCACTGTCATCAGAACCAGGCTGGGACCCCGTCGGCCGCCTGACTGGAAGCCGCTTCCATTGTGTGCTTGCAGGCCCAGAGGGGCTGGTGACCCTGGTGGAGAACGGCGGCTTCCTGGGCAGCAGAAAGGGTGTGAACTTGCCAGGCGCGGAGGTGGACCTGCCTGGGCTGTCGGAACAAGACATCAAGGACCTGCGCTTTGGGGTGGAGCAGGGCGTGGACATCGTGTTTGCCTCTTTCGTTCGCAAAGCCAGCGACGTGGCTGCTGTGCGCGCTGCTCTGGGGCCCGAAGGACTAGGCATCAAGATCATCAGCAAAATCGAGAATCACGAAGGCGTCAAGAAGTGAGCTTTGCTCTTTGTCTCATGAGACCCTAGCTGCACCCCACTACCAGCTCTTCCTCTTCTCTCCCAGCGTGTCTCTTAGCTCTGCCTGAACCCTGAATCCCCTATGCCTCGCTCAGGCTTGATGAAATCTTGGAGGTGAGCGATGGCATCATGGTGGCACGTGGCGACCTGGGCATTGAGATTCCGGCTGAGAAGGTCTTCCTGGCCCAGAAGATGATGATCGGGCGCTGCAACTTGGCGGGCAAACCTGTTGTTTGTGCCACACAGGTGTGCTGCAGGAAGCCGGTGGCGGGGGGGGCAGGGGTGGAGGAGTAGGTTGGGAGTGGTCCTGCAGAGAGAAGGCTGAGAGTGGGTTCCCCCTCCCACCGAGACCCAGGGCACTCTTGGCTGTACAGTCAGCAGAGTGAGGCAGAAATGTGCTGTGACCCCCTCGCCCCATCAGCAGGTGAATAAATCTAGCCAAGGGTACCCACTGACTGTGGGGCTGTGACCCTAGCTGTCAGGGCTCTCTCAGAGTGTACATGGCAGAGAAGTAGCTTGGGCAGGGTTCCTGATTCATCTGGCATCCTTTGTGTTCCCCCCAACCTTGCTCCTTGCTGCCTACCCACCTCCTGTCAGATGCTAGAGAGCATGATCACCAAGCCCCGGCCAACACGGGCAGAGACGAGCGATGTGGCCAACGCTGTGCTGGATGGGGCCGACTGCATCATGCTGTCCGGAGAGACGGCCAAGGGCAAGTTCCCCGTGGAGGCTGTCAAGATGCAGCATGCGGTACGCAACTCCACACCAGAGGCAAAAACTCCTTCTGGGTTGCCATGACCCTTCCCAGGCACCTGACTTCTTGGCATCTTGCAGATTGCCCGTGAGGCAGAGGCTGCTGTGTACCACCGGCAACTGTTCGAGGAGCTACGCAGGGCGGCACCTCTGAGCCGCGATCCCACTGAGGTCACGGCCATCGGCGCTGTGGAGGCTGCCTTCAAGTGCTGTGCTGCTGCCATCATTGTGCTGACAACAACTGGCCGGTGAGGAGACCCTGGCCTGGCACAGACAAGACTGGGGGGCTGGGGTCAGGGGAGGTGGAGTAAGAAGAGTGGTGGCTCTCAGATCTGGAGGCTGGGAGAGAGGTTGGTCTTGGAATGCTGCCAGTATGCTCCAGCAGGCTGCAGGGAGGTGGCGGCCTCAACAGGTGTACTGCTTCAAGGCTGTTTGGGCTCCTAGAACTTAGAGCAAGTGCATCAGAGCCTTCTGAGGCTGAGGGGCCGGGAAAGGCCCTGGAGGGCTGAGTGCAAGTCTGCTGTCCCTGAGTCTTGCTTGGGTTCACAGTGAGGTGTCACGTGATCGCTGTGGCACTAGGAGCACTAACAGACATCAGTACTGTTATGGAGGTTAAGGATTGTGCAAATGTATATTCTCAGTAGGGCCAGGAGCTTCCTATTGGGCAGGGTCCCAAGGATTTGGGCCATCCTCCACTGCTTTCCCAGGCCAAAAAACAGAGAGTTGGATCAAAAGTGGAGCAGTTGAGTCACAGACTGGTATTCATATGGGATGCTGGCATCACAGAGTGGAGGATTTAGCTGGTGAGCCACCACATCAGTCCCAACTTTATTTATCCTGTAGATTTGTTTGAAAGAATGGCACACACAGTGTAATCTTATCTGCTGGTTCATTCCCCAAATGTCCACAACTGGCTTGGATGATCCAAGTAGAAGTCACTGGGTCTCCTATGTGGGTGGCTGACGTCATGTACTTCAAGTACAGGCCCATCTGCTGCTGTCTCCCTGCTGTGTTTAGGAGGAGGCCAGAGGGGAAGCAGAGCAGTCAGGACTCATGGACACTCCTATAAGGGAGGTGGGCATGCCCAGTGGGGGCTTAGCTGGGCCCATCACAACACCTACCACTAATAACCTATTTTGCATGAGTTTACTTATTTTTCTTAGCAGAAAGCTGGGATCCGAAGCAGAGCCAGGTGTGGGTGTTTGGCATAGCAAGTTAAGCCACCATTTGAAATTCTTGTATTCTATATCAGATTGACAGTTTGAGTCCCAGCTGCTGTGCTTACCACCAGCTTGCTGCTAATACACCTAGAAAGGCAGTGGAAACCAGTCCAAATGTTTGTCTACTAATGTGCAAAACTGGGATGGAGTTCCTGGATCCTGCCTTCAGCTTGGTCCAATCCTGGCTGATTGCAGGCATTTGGGAAGTGAACCAAAGGATGGAAGATCTCTGTTTCTTCCTCCATTTCTATCACTCTGCCCTTCAAATAAATAAACAAATAGATATATAAGTCTTTAAAAAAAAAAAAAGACTATTTTGGATGCCCTCCTCCCATAACAGCATGCTGGATTCAGATCTAGGTTCTGCTTCCATTCCAGCTTCCTGCTAATGCACACCCGGGAAGCAGCAGGTGGTGGTTCAAGTACCTGCCATTCACAGGGAGACCTGGGCTGAGTTTCCAGCTCTTGCCTTTGGCCTGGCCCAGCCCTAGTTGCTTGGAACATCTGGGGGAGTGAACCAACAGATAGATCTCTCTTTCTCCCTTATAGTTCAGATAAAAAAAATAAATTAGTGATTTTTTTAAAACTGAAAAACATGCATAACCAGAATTTGAACCCAGTTATTCTGATGTGGGGTCCCAAGTGGCATCTTAATTGCTGTTGCCAAATACCTGTCTGTCCTTCTCCATGTCTTTTCCCCCCTCCTTATCTTATTTGCTGTATCCTTGCAATTTCATATCCTCCTTGTGTGGCAGGAAGGGCTCACAGTGAGAAACACCAGACCCAGAGAAACTTGCACAGCACAACAGCTTGTTGGCAAGGCCTGGAACCAGCCACGGGGCCCTGGTTCACCGGCCCCCCTGCCCTTCCACTGCCTGGGCTAACCTTGCCTGCCTCCCGCAGCTCAGCCCAGCTCCTGTCCCGGTATCGCCCTCGGGCCGCAGTCATTGCTGTCACCCGCTCTGCCCAGGCTGCCCGCCAGGTCCACCTGTGCCGGGGTGTGTTCCCCTTGCTGTACCGGGAACCCCCTGAAGCTGTGTGGGCAGACGATGTGGACCGCCGAGTGCAATTTGGCATCGAAAGCGGTAAGCCATCCAGTTCTTCCTTCATCCTTGGTCTGGCATCCATCAGTTCCTCCATGCAGCCTCCCACTGCTACTTGAAGAGGAGGGTGTCATGTTAAGGAAAGAGAGGAACCAGGAGGTGGGAGGAGAGATGGGACTATCCAGATGTTGCCCAGCTGCTGTCCCTGCACAGGGCTAAAGCCTGGTGTCAATAGCATCATGAGCCAGAGGCAAAGGCAGGGGCGGTTGGGGGAGAACTTAATGCACAGCACCCCCACCTCCAGCTGGAACTAAAATCAGACAATCTGGCAAGCTCAAGCCTGACCTCTCTCAGCCTGGCCACTCAGGGGGCCAGGCTTGCTGCTTAGCAACAGCACACCCCGTGCCCGCCCACGATCGGTAACAGCCGCTTTGATTTGCCTCACTGGTGCTGGGCACTGTTGTCTGCTGCAAGCCACCACACCTGTGGTCAGTTTCCTCCATGGGGCCCTGGAGGAATGGAGGCAGGTGACCGGCTCTCAGAATGGACTTGGCCTGGGGCCCTCATGTTCTTCTCCTCCTCCAGGAAAGCTCCGTGGCTTTATCCATGTTGGGGACCTGGTGATTGTGGTGACTGGTTGGCGACCTGGCTCAGGATATACCAACATCATGCGGGTGCTGAGCGTATCCTGAGATGCACCTCTGTTCTCTGACCCGAACCACCCCTGCACCCCATGCCATCTTCCTCCCTGGCCCCTCAGCTGCCCACACAGCCTGGCCTCTGCCCTCCCCACCTGTCATCCAGCCCCAGTCCCTGGCGCCCTTCCCTCCTGCATGTCACACAGGACCCCGAAATCTGTGTCTGATCCCACACTGGCCACCCAGCAGCACCAGTGGCCCTTGGGGCATCCAATCCGCTCAACTGGCTCCTAAGATTCCCTAAGCCTTTAATCCCAGCCTGGCTGATTAATTCTCTCCCCCTACTCCTCCTGTCTCTGGGGAGTTGAAGATAGGGCAGCCAGGGCAGTCTTGTCCACGGTCTCCATAGAACCACTATTTAAAAATAGTTCATGTCTGTGTTCTCATGTGTGCCGACATTTCCTTGTGTGGTCCTCATAAGGAGTACCATCGCCTCCTGACAGCCTCACAACCAGGGCAGACCACTCTTCTGCTGTGACTAACAGTGACATCACAGAACCAGCTTGAGGGGACGCTGGGGTAGACGGATGCCCGAGGAGAGCTGTGTAGGCCCCCTCACGCCTTGCTGGCTCACATATCCTGGTACTTCACCTCCTGCAACCAGGGATGCCTGCGTGTCCACGGGGTCCCCTGCCCCTACCACACACACATCAGCAGCCAAAGTGAGTGTCTCTATTTTCTTTTTAAACCCAGCTGTTCGGGAGTGATTATAAAACTTGTCCCCCCACAACACACACACTCACACACACAAGACCCTGGAATTTTCTCTGGGAAAATGAGGGGTCTCTGATTCTGGCCACACTGAAGAATATGGAAGGGGACCATAAGGAGAGAAGGGGGACCACGTAGAGGGGTGAAGGGTTGTTATTTTCCCTGAGAAGGCAGAAGTGCCGGCTAAGCTGCCCTGCTGAGGACTGGGCGCCACGGGGGGGCCTCCTTTCCCCCTGCGGCCGACAGCACAAACTCAGAAGGAAACTCAGACTGGAGATTGGAGTGGTCCCTCTCCCACTCTGGGGCGGGCCCTCCTGCCCTCACCCAGCAAGGGGCCAGGTTCAAGTACTGCAGCTGACGGCTGATGGAGTCAGACTCGGGCAGGGACCACCAGAGCTGGTGTGGAGGGGCCCTGCCTCCTCCTGCTCCTCCTCCTTCCTCCCTGCCAGGTGGGGGAGAGTGGGAGTAGAGGGAGGGGGGCAGATAAAGGAATGGGTGGGCAAAATGAACAGACAGACGAGAAATCAAATTAGCAAATGAGTAAATAAATTAACACGTGAATAAATAAATAAATAACAAGGGAGCGAACACAATGTCACATAAGGAGGCAGACACTGGCTCCCCCCACCCCGCCTGGGGGAGGGGGTGGGGATCTAGACTGCACACTAAGGAGATGCCAGCTACTCCTTAGCTTCAAGAGGAACACTGTAGGATGGGGGGCACAGCGCAGAAGGGGCTGTCCACTTCCTGGAGGACAGTTCTAGCACAGAGGTGGATAGCAGGGAGCTGGGCAGCAGTTTAGCATCCTCATGAGGAGGTGTGGACAGGAAGGAGGTCCACAAGTGGCAGTGAGAGGGCACAGGGGAGGAGGTGCCCACACTCAGGAACTAAGACATCTGTTGGCAGCAGTGGGCACAGGTCACTGGCAGTGCCCAGCTATGCTAGGGGGACAGAGGAAGATGACCACGCCAGGCAGAACCTGTGGGCTCATCAGTGGGGACACAGAGATGCCTAAGTTACTTGGCAGTGATGGCGGTGGCAAGTACTTGTGCTTAGTCAAGATGAGGGGTCACAGGCCTAGGTCTGCACCTGGCAGGACCATGGCCAAGGGCATCCCCTCACTGGAGGACTTTAAGTCACTTCTACTTGGCAGTGGAGACACACAGAGCTGGGGCAGGCACTCAGAACATATGATGAAGTGGGGGACAGGGCACAGATGAAAATGTCAGACAGCTGCAGGGGGTCTGAGCTGAGGACACAGGGGACATCTTCATGGTGGGAGGGGAGACAGTTTCATAGAGTGTTGTTTCAGGGCCCCTTGGCCTGCAACCAGAGGTGCTGGCCCTCAGGCACATGCGCACCACCCCCAGAGCTAAGGCCAGTCTTCCCAGGATCTCACATGTTGGCAGAGAGCTGGGGGCCCCGGGGAATGGCTGACTCTGGCACTGGCGGCCTAGAGGACTGAGCTGTCCCTGGAGTCTTAGCCAGGAGCCCTGAGGGGGGTAGGCGGTCACTTCCTGAGCCCTTGCGCCCAGGAGAGCCATCACCTGTTGTTGCCCGCTGAGGCAGCGAAGGCTGGGAGGCTGAGAGGGGGCGGCCCCGAGGTCCCAACCGCCGTCCTCCTCCCCCTGGGGGAGGACCCAGCAAAGACACCTGGGAGCGACCAGCCCTGGACAGGCTGGCATGGAGGGTTCGGGAAGGAGGGGCAGGCAGGCGAGAGGTGGATGCCCAGGGTCCTCGGACCAGCAGAGGACCAGCTCGGACAGGCACCAGCGGGGAGGCAGGGGAACCCGCTGAGCGCCGAGCAGAGCGAGCAAGGAAGACAGCCGGGGAGTCAGGGGAGAGAGGCAGAGGGCCTCTCTGGTGAGTCAGGGCAATGGCCACGTTGGAGGTCACAGCTGCTGCCTGCAGGGGTGCGTGCACCAGGGGCTCCCACAGCACTGGTTTTCCACTCAGCTGAGCTCCTGTGCCTGGGGCCAGGCCCCGGACCCCTCGAGCCATGTCCCTGTCGTGTTGCACCAAGTGCTGCTCCATGAGGCCACCACTGCTGCCCGGGCTCGGCTCCGAGCGCTTCCGCTGCAGGATGGAGTTCTTCTTGCCTACGGGGTGTCCCCAGGGGAGGAGTCAGGGAAAGAGAAGGAATCCAGGGTGGAGGCTGGATCACAAGAAGAGGGCCAGGGGACAGGACCAAGGGGTGGGGCTGGAGGAAGAAGGGGCGTGTCAGTCAGGGGGCTGGTCCTTAGTGGGGAAAAGGAGGACCCAGGCCTGGGGTTCAGCCCCCTGGCAGCAGCATGCTGAGAGATGGAGGCAGTGAGGCAGAGCTGAAAGGCCTGTGGGAGCATTTGCCAGAAGCAGGTGCAGTGGGGTATGACACGGAAGCTCTAGAGCCTGGGACACAATGCAGACAAGGTGAACAGGCCTCACCAATACGGCGCAGTCGATCCATGGCCACAGTCTCAAAGGCCCGGCGCATCATGGGGAACTCCTCGAGGACAGCGTTGAAGTGGTCCACGCTGAGAGAGTAGAGGCGGCAGTAGGTGTCAGCCCGCACACTGGCTGTGCGCCGGCCCCGAGTCAGGAGGCAGATCTCTGTGGAGGTTGGTAGGAAACTCAGACCCTCCAGCCCCCAGAACAGGCCCCTGCTTGCTGATGCAGCTCTCTCAGTCTTGGGAGCATCCCCAGGCTTGGCAGAAATAGACGTTTGCCCAAGTCCACTAGGCTCCCTAATGGCGCTGCAGTGTCCCTCTCCTGACTTGTACACTCTCTGCCCTTCTCCTGCTGTCCAAATCAAAATAGCCCAAGAGGCAAGTCTGGCTAGTCTCCTCACGCCCAGCTCCCCCACTGCACGCTAACTGCTCTGTCCTGAGGCGTGCCCACTCTACGTACCCCCTACCACCTTGAGTGAATGCCAAGGGCGACCCTGGAAAAGGAAAGCAATGCCATGGTCATGCGGATGGTGAGAACTGAGGGAAGGGATGAGGCCAGTAGCTGCCAGAAATGGCCGCTCCCTGCTGCAGCGCCTGGGCAATACCACTGAAAGTTCAAACCCATGGCTCCACCTAGAACCTGCTGCCTCTCTCTCCTTTGCTTCAGGGGCTCCAAGGATTTCACGGTTTGAGGGATTGCCAATATCCCTCTGGCCACTAGTTGGTGCCGTGGTTAGCATTCCAGATTGCCCTGGCACAGCCTTTTATTTATTTATTTATTTATTTAAGATTTATTTTATTTTAATTACAAAGTCAGATATACAGAGAGGAGGAGAGATAGACAGGAAGTGGAGCTGCCGGGATTAGAACCAGCGACCATATGGGATCCCGGTGCATTCAAGGCGAGGCCCTTAGCCACTAGGCCACACCACCAGGCCCTGGCACAAATTCTTAAAGCCAAGGTGCTTTGGGTCCCAGGGCCGCTGGGGAGGGAGGGCCTGAAACTCTGTGATTCTGCAACACACAGCCTGGGAGAGACCCTGACCCTGGGGAACAGCTGTCCTCTGTCCTCTAGTTATGAGCACCCCCACCCCTCCCTGAGACCTGCTGACCCCCAAAGTAGGATCCATCAGTGAGGCGGGTGTCGCGGGCACCACGCGCCAACACGCTGAGCAGCCCATGCTGGATGAAGTACATCTTCCTGCCCACGGAGCCCTCACGCACCACGAGGTCCCCCGGCTGGAAGACCTCAAAGCGCAGCTTGGTGAGCACCGCGGTGACGAAGCTGGGGTCAGCGTGGGCAAACAGCGGCATGTGGGCCACCAGGCCCCGGCAGGTGTAATTGATGATCTCCTGGGCAGGAGAGGGACCTGTCAGGCAGGCTGTGCCCTTTCCCACTAAACTCCTCTGTCCCAGAAAACGAACCTTGGGATTCATGACCTGTTAAACCATGGACTGCTGTCTTGGGCCTGGGAGCATGCTTGAGCTCTCAGCACCCCCACAAAACCTCATGGGAGCACCGTCCCCAATGGAGAGCCCTGCAGCCACCCTCCTCATGGATGCTTCACCCTCATCAGACTTTCAAGAAAGACTCCCATCCATGGAAGGGGCCCCAAGTGCCTAGAATTTTCCCATGGAACCCTCTATCAGCCTGCCTTCCCATAGGAGCAGTGCTAACCACCCCAGGCGCCCCTTCCCAGCTCCCCCAAAAGCCCTGGTCCCAGCAGAGCCCAGCCTCACCTCCCGCAACGGCTCACTCAGCTCGCCCAAGATGCTCTCCTCGTCAAACATCTTGCCCTGGTAGCGGTGCTCATAGTACTCGTGGATGCGCTGCCGCGTGTCAGCAGGCAGCTTATGGAATGACATGTACTGCTCCACCTGCTTGTACTGGGGGGCCAGCCCACAGCCAGAGTGCACAGACAGAAGGGTAGGACCCGAACAGGATGGGGTGGGGGAAAGCCGTGTGAGGTGGGGGATATGCCAGAAGTGGCAGGGCCAAGGAGGATGTGAGGATCATGGGGGAACACAGAAATTGCAGGAAAACCCAGATATGGAGGGGGTGGGTAGGCCCAAGGACAAGAGCGTGGAGACCCACACAAGGAAAAGGTTCACACATGGCCATGGGACAAGTGGACAGGACACAAGAGACCCAACAACAGAAGCATCATCAGCACATGCCCCAAGTCAGGCTACCCAGGCCCCAGCAGCCCTCCATGCCCCACCCCTTCCCTCTCAAGTCCCTGCTGACCTTCTCCTGGTACTGGCGCCGGGAAGAATCCAGGGACTGGATGAGGGCAGTGGCATGCCCGATGAACATGGCATAGCATGTGGCACCCACGATCATGCTGAGCATGGTGAGCCAGACGTCGGGCATGCCCACAGGTGCTTGCTGCCCATAGCCGATGCACAGCATGTGGCTCATGGCCTTGAACAGGGCGTGGGAGTATTGGCGGCCCCAGGAGTGGTTCTGGTGGGAGGGGTGAGGCCAGGGGTGTGGCAGAGCGTCAGTCTCTGCCTGCCACCTTTCCTCTTTCAGTCCTCCTGTCTGTCCCCTTCTGCACCAGACCTTTTCCCATGGTGGCAGGGTGGGGTGGGGGGCTTTGAGGTTGGGCTCTGGAACCCCTGAGGCAAAAGAGGGGCTTGGTTTCTGTCTTGATCCTCCCCCCCACGCACACACCTTGCCTGTTCCCTCCTTTTCTTCCCACCTTACTGGTGTTTCCTCATTGGTTCCCACTTCCTGCTCCCTGTACCATCCCTGCTGCTGGGGTGGAAGAGCCCTGTGGTGGCCCGGGAGAGGTGGAGCGGTGGGGCCTGCTCACCACCATGCGGTTGATGTACACCCAGCAGTCGGGAGGGAAGTCCTGCAGCATGGGGACCAGGAACTGCAGACAGCCATCCCAGTGGCACAGCAGCAGCATCATCCCGATGAGGTTGAAGATGCGAACCACAGCGCTGGCCAGGTCATAGGTCATGTGAAAGATCTGAGGAGTCCGAGGAGGGGCTGCTGTGCACGGGAGCCCCCCGCCCCTACTGCTCCTCCTCCATCCCCAGCCTTGCTCTCTCTCTCTCTCCCTCCTTAAACTTAGCCTCTATGAAGGGAAATTAAAAAGAAAAAATTATGGCTACCATTCACTTGCACAGCTTTACAGGTAATGTGAAGCAGGTTGTGTCGGTCTCCTCATTAATGGAGACACAGGGGCCAATCGCATGCCCAGTGAGGTCTCCTGCAACATGCTGCCCAGACATGGACTGGAGACCTGAGGCACCCACACGGCATATGCCTGAAAGTGTTAACACCAAGAGCACTTTTCCCATCCAGTAACAGTCACAGCAAGTTTACTGAGAATGTGCTGTGAGCCAGCTCACTCTCTGAACGCTGTATACACTGACTCCTTTAGTCCTTACAGCCTTGGCCCAGACCAATACTTTTGACATTCTCAATTTACACAAAATGAAACTAGGTCTCACCAAGTAAATAAGAAAATGGGATCTGGCTGCGGGCAATGGGATTGTGGAGGCCAAGCTGTACCATTAAACCTGTGTCCCTGAAGATGAAATCCAACTCTTCCACAATCCCCCTTCCATCCAGTGCCAACCAGCCCTGAAGACTTGTTTCAATGTTTCACCTTCTTGTGCTTCCATCCCATCCCAGGCCCTGGCTCATTTTGCCCCTGCTTCTTCACCCCCTGCCAACTTGGGAGAGAGCTCATGTGCCTCCCACCAGGAGTTCTCCCCCGTCCCGCCCCACCACAATGCCATCCCAGCCCAGAGGAGTATGCGAGAGCCCCCCTGCCCACCTCCCCGCCCCACCTCCTCCCACTGGTGAATGTAGCGGATGAGGCGGGAGAGGCGGAGCAGCCGCAGCAGGCTGAGGATCTTGGTGAAGCGGACGATGCGCAAGGCCCGGGCCGTTTTGTAGACCTCGGCATCCAGCCTGGGCTCCAGTTCCACCACGAGAAAGATGTAATCCACAGGGATGGAGGAAATGAGGTCAACCAGAAACCAGGTGCGCAGGTAGCGTGTACGGATGGCCCGCGGGGCCAGCAGGATCTCCGCGCCCTCCTCCACCACAATGCCAGTGCGGAAGTTGAGCACCAGATCCAGCAAGAAGAAAGTATCCGAGAGGACGTTGAAGACAATCCAGGGCGGGGAGTTCTCCTCCTTGAAGAAAGTGATGCCCACGGGCAGGATGATGAGGTTGCCCACCATCAGCAGCAACATGATCAGATCCCAGTAAAACCTAGGGTGGGAGGCGAGGGAGGAGCTCAGCTGATATACATCGCACCAGTCACCAGCTGGACCTGAGACAGTCTGCTAAAAATGAGCGATGGAGAACAGTGGGAAGACCATCTACAACAGGTAGGGGTGTGGATTGGGAGGATTCTGATTTGGGGAAAATAGTTCACCATCTTCCAATAAAGTTAAAAATTTGGGCCTGGCACAGTAGTCTAGTGGCTAAAGGCCTCGGCTTGCACACACTGGGATCTCATTTGGGCGCCAGTTTTAATCCCGGCAGACTTGCTTCCCATCCTGCTCCCTGCTTGTGGGCTGGGAAAGCAGTCAGGACAGCCCAGAGCTTGGGACCCTGCACCCGCATGGAAGACCTGGAAGAACCTCCTGACTCCTGGCTTCGGATCGGCATGGCTCAGGCCATTGCGGCTGCTTGGGGAGTGAATCAGCAGATGGAAAATCTTCTTCTCTGTCTCTCCTCCTCTCTGTATATCTGACTTCCCAATAAAAATAAAATAATTATCTTTTTTTTAAAAAAGCTAAATACTTGAATTTTTTAAGCCAACTTTGCAATGCCATTCCTAGGAATTCCTACACCCAGTGAAAACACACTCCAGGAATTTATCTACAGGAATGTTCACAGATGCATTAGATCTGGCAACAACCCAAATGTACACCAGTAGAAGAATGTGGGTCCAGAAAAGAAGTACATAAATGCACTCTGAAATATTCATGACCTGAAACACTATACAATCACGAAATCACCTAGCAATCTTACAAATCTGGTGTCGAGCAAGAGCGGCAAGAAACGCAGATACATAAGGGTGAGTCCATTGACATAAAGCTCAAAGATAGGCAGGACTAAGCTATATAAGTAGCTGCAGGATCTCCACAACTATTCAAAAAGTAAGGAAATGAGTGCCACAAGAACGAGGATGGTGAGTCTGGAAAGGAATGTGAGAATCCTACAGGGGATCCGATAGGTGCTGGCATTATTGTAGCTCTTATTCTAGACAATAAGGCATACAGTCTATGTTGTCACTAAACACTTATTTTTTGCAACATGGAGTTTAAAACATGTATATACAGGTTTTTTTTTAACAAAAAGATTTTCTTATTGGAAAGTCAGATATACAGAAAGGAGGAGAGACAGAGAGGAAGATCTTCTGTCCACTGATTCACTCCCTGAGTGGCTGCAGTGGTCGGAGCTGAGCCAATCTGAAGCCAGGAGTTCAGAGTGGTCTCCTATGCGGGTGCAGGGTCCCAAGGCTTTGGGCCATCCTCCATTGCTTTCCCAGATTACAAGCAGGGAGCTGGATTAGAACTGGCACCCACATGGGATCCCAGAGCGTGCAAGGCAAGGATGTTAGCCACTAGGCTACTGTGTCATGCCCCCACATGTATACACTCTTAAGAGACAGAGATTAAGTGAAACAGAGGGCCCCTGTCCTCTGATTTACTGCTTAAATGCCCGCAGTGGCCAGGACTGGAGCAGGCTGATGGCCAGGAGCTGGGGGCTCCATCAGATCTCCTTGTGGAGTGGCAGGGACACTGTCTTGAGGGCTCTCCCCCACAGATTCCTTTAGTACTCCATTGCCAGAAGAATAAACCTGCTGCCTGCCACCCAGCCTCCTGGCCCTCAAAAGACAGACAGACAGACAGGGGTTCTGTCTAAGCAGTTCTGTCTAAGCCTTATAGCATCACGGCTGCCTCACAGAATCTGCACAGCAGCAAGAAGCTGGAATTGGGAGTCTGAGCTCGGTATCAGACCAGGTACTGCCATACAGTGTGGGCAAAGGGGTCTCCAAGTCAATTAGATGGTGACTAACAGTCTAGGTCACCAGCGGGCAAGATGGCGGCAAGGACAGAGCCCTGGGTGTGAACCAAGGCAGGAATCAAGTCTCTTCAAAGAAAGACTGATTGGCCAGGGCCATTTAGCCCACCTACCCCTGGCCTATGGGAGGTGGCTTCCGCAGTCATTCTCCTAGTAATTGGCTCCTAGTTTCTCCCCTCCTGGAATTCATGAAATTCCTGGCCTGAGAGTATCCCTTACCCTATATAAGAAACTGAATTTCCCCAATAAATCAGAACTGCTTAGACAGAACCCCTGTCTGTCTGTCTGTCTTTTGAGGGCCAGGAGGCTGGGTGGCAGGCAGCAGGTTTATTCTTCTGGCAATGGAGTACTAAAGGAATCTGTGGGGGAGAGCCCTCAAGACAGGATGTGAGTGCTGCAATTGCTAGGCTAATGCTTGCTCCTTAAACATTCAAGAAAAAAATTGTAATTGGGTAAGCTCTTGTCACAGCAATTGGTGAAGACACTGGTTAGGAAGCACACGTCTCATTTCGGATGCCTAAATTCAGTGTGCTCCCCACTCCAGCTAATGCACACCCTGGGAGGCAGCAGGTAATGGCTCAAGGACGTGGGAGACCCAAAGTGAGTTCAGAGAGCCTGGCTGCTGAGGGCATTTGGAAGATGACCAGCAGATGCGATATTTCTCTTTTTTCTCTCTCTCTTTCTCTCCCTCATTTCTCAAGTAAATAAAACTTCCAAGTTAAAAAAAAATGAAAATAAAAAAGTACCCTCTGCTGACCTCACAGGGCTGTTGGCAAAGCCCCGCCGAGACAATAGAAGTGGCAGTGCCGTGCAGCCTGTTGGTATTATGACTCACCCTCTCTTTCTCCCCAGATTTCTGAAAGGGAATGCTGCTTCTCCTGTCTCCAGCTCAATGCCCATTTCAAGCTCCTCACACCCTCCCCAGCCTCTTCGCCAACACAGACCCACAGAGCCTGCTTCTTGGCTGGGATCTGCCAGTCCGTGGCCCAGGTGGGTATGGACGGGCCAGCCTCCCATCTGAGCTGGACTTTCCAGAGATGCCCTCTGCTCTTCCCAGCATTTCCATCAGGGCTGCACAGACAGAGGGGCAGCCGGACCTGTCTTCTCCTCCAACCTCTACGTGCCCACCCCCAGGACTCTGGCTGGGCCCAGGCAGGCCTGGGCAGGGGACAGCTGCTCTGCTATGGATGGCAGAAGCTGTGCAGAGGAAGGGTGGGAGGGAACTGGGTGAAGCCCTCACTCAGACAATCGCTGGGTAATCTGCGGGACTCAGTTACCTAAGGTGGATTAATTCTAGGACACAGCTAATCCCGGCCTCAGCACAGAGCCCCCGCCCCTTCAGGCTGGGAGGTTAAAATCAACCTTTTCAACTGGGGCCTCAAGTCTGGAAGTTCCCTTGAACTACATGCTCCTGACCTGCTGCAAACCCCTGAGCCCTGAGCCTCTCCCTGGGAAGAGGGGACAGAAGGAGGGTTTGCCTTCACCACAGGAGCATCTTCACAGCCTGACTCACAGGCAGTCACAAGCCCTGCGGGTGATGCAGTGGGGAGGACAGAGCAGCAGCAGCAGTCTAAGGGGGATACATGGCTTCAGGGGCATTCATCTGAGGGTGAATGGGGTGGGGGAGTGGTGGGAGAGCCACAGGAGACCAAACAGGGTGCAGTGGGAGGAGGGGGCCCACGGCAGCCAAGATGAGAACAATGGGAGGAGGCGGCACATTTAGGGAGTGTGTAAGTCTGTGAATTGGAGGTAGTGTCTGAGTCCCCAGCTGCAAATCTAGGTTCTGGTTTCATGCTACTGGCTCTGTGTTTCTCTCCTTCCCAGGGTTAGAGGCTTGGCACATCCCCAGCCGCCTCATCCAGACACTGTCCTTCATCTCCCCCGAAGGACAGGCGTGCTCTCCTCCCCTAGCGACCTTGACGTAGAGGTACAGCTTGATGGGGACTGTGCAATGGCCCCACCCCCACCCTGGTCCCTTCTATCTGGGCGGTGGTCTTGCACTTGTTCCGCTGCCTAGAGCCGGTCCACTCCGCTGCTCCCGGACTTCAGTACCAGGGACAGCAGCCCGAGGTGGCGGGTTGGATGGTCTGGGGTCTAGATAGCCCCGTCCCCGCCCTCCAAGGTCTCCGATTTTTTTTTTTTTTCTTTTACTGGTGGATTGTCCCAATGAACCGGGTAGGTGTTGAGGAAGGGGGCAGAGGTAGTTGGAAGCAGAGTCCAGGTTGGCCCTGATATGACATCAACTATCCCGGTCCCCTGCAAGCAGGACTGGATCCTCAAATTCCCAATAGTCTTGTGGTCCAGGTGGGGCCCGAGCGTCAGGGACGGGGAATCCAGGTGTGTGGGGATCCGCGCCCCTGTCCTGGCGTCCCCAGCTGGGCAAGTCTGGGAAGACTTCCAGCCGGGGATACCCTGACCAAGAATTCCCAGGCTCGGCTGGGGGGAGGTGCTTCTCCTCCAGCCGCGCGGCCCCCTGGGCGGGAGAAGTGGCCGTGGAGGGTGGGGCGGGCCTGGCCCGCGGGGTCTCCAGCCCGAGCATGAGGATCGGGGTCCCTCGCCCGCCCTCCTCGCCGAGCCCCCAGTACCGGAAATCGCTGTAGGGGTGGATGATCCAGGCCCCGGCTGACTTCACCCGCTCCTGCTCGATCTCCACGGCTTTGTGGCTGCCGAACACTCGCAGAGAGAACTTGTTGACCGTGGGCTGGAGCAGTGTCCCGAGCTGCCTCCTCTTGGGCTCGGGCGCAGCTCCGGGGATCGGACCTGAGGCAGCGGCCGAAGGAGCCGAAGCAGCGGACGGCGCCACGTCCAGCCCGGGGGTCGCCCCTTCGCCGGCCCCCGCAGCCGGCCGCTGCTCTGCCTCCATGACGCCCTCCCCTACGAGCTCGGCCTCCTAGACCCCGCTGCGGCCATCTCCACCCCACTTCTCCCAACACACACACACACCCGGCCCCTCGAGAGTAGCGGCCGGTGCAGCGCGCGGGGCCCTCGGAGCTGAGGCGCCTCGGGCTGCGAGCCGCCGGCGCGGGGCGGAGGGGGTGTGTGCGCCAGACCGGCGGGCGAGCCGCGGCTGGGCTGCGCGGCGCCCCCTGGCGGGGACCGGCCGGCCGGCAGAGGCGGGGTCGAGGCCGCCCCGAGTCCAGGACGGAGGCGAGGTGGGCGGAGCCTGGGCGGAGGCGGAGCTCCGGGCGTGGGCGGGGTCGAGGCCGCCCCGAGTCCAGGACGGAGGCGAGGTGGGCGGAGCTCCGGGCGTGGGCGGGCCCGAGGCCGCCCCGAGTCCAGGACGGAGGCGAGATGGGCGGAGCTCCGGGCGTGGGCGGGGCCGAGGCCACAGGAGTCCTGGACGGAGGCGAGGTGGGCGGGGTCAGGGCCGGCGGGGAGGCGTGGCCTGGAGCGGTCGGCTTCTGTCCACTGAGCGCCCAGGAGGCGGGACCGGTCGCTAGCGGCGGGAAAGCCGACCCTGTTTGCTCCTCAGTGTGGGGCTAGCGGGGCAAGGGAAGCGGCAGACTTTGACATTCTTCTGTCCTGATTTCATCTTCTCAGCACTCTCCTAGGCATGTTCCGTCTTTCTGTTCTCTTTCAAGCTGCTTTTAACAAGTTCATATTTCCTTTTTTGTTGTTTTTAAGCTGAATTTTTAAAAAAAGATTTATTTATTTTATTACAAAGTCAGATATACAGAGAGGAAAAGAGAAAGAGAGGAAGATCTTTCATCCGATGATTCACTCCCCAAGTGAGCACAATGGCCGGTGCTGTGCCAATCAGGAGCCAGGAACCAGGAACCTCTTCTGGGTCTCCCACACAGGTGCAGGGTCCCAAGGCTTTGGGCCATCCTCGACTGCTTTCCCAGGCCACAAGCAGGGAGCTGGATGGAAGTGGAGCTGCTGGGATTAGAACCAGCGCCCATATGGGATTCCGAGGCGTCCAAGGCGAGGACTTTAGCTGTTTAACCTGAATTTTATTGGAAAGATAGGTTTGCAGAGAGGAGAAACAAAGATATTCCATCCGTTGGTATGATCCCCAAATGGTTTCAACAGCTAAAGCAGGGTAAATTTGAACCCAGAAGCAAGGAGCTTCTTTCTGTGTCTCCCACATGGGTGCAGTGTCCTAAGGCATTGGTCCCTGGAGATCGCAAATTCTCTTCATTACCATTTCTTATTGTTACTGTCTTATTTCAAGCCCTTGATATTTTTCACTTCAATTATTTAACCTCTCCCAGTTCCCCCCACACACCTTTTTTTTTCACACACTCAAATTTTCTTTCTAAAACCAACTTGAGGGCCTGGCGTGGTGGCTTAGTGGCTAAAGTCCTCACCTTGTACACGCCGGAATCTCGTATGAGCACTAGTTCTAATCCCAGCAGCCCCATTTTCCACCCAGGAAAGCAGTTGAGCATGGCCCAAAGCCATGGGACCCTGTACCCACTTGGGAGACCTGGAAAATCTCCAGGCTCCTGGCTTTGGACAGACTCAGCTCCAGCCATTTGTATATCTGACTTTCCAATAAAAATAAATAAATCTTAAAAAAAAAAAACACCAAGTTGAAAGGCCTCCAGATATCCCCATCTTCTGGAGGATTTCACGTAACCTCTTGAGCAGCCAATGTGAGCCACTTTCAAGATCTCTCTCTGTTCTCCCTTTCAAGGTTCCAATTATGCTGAGCTATTTTGTTCCACCTTGTCTCCAGGCCTTGGAAAAATACATTTTTTTCCTCCTCCTCCATTTCACTTTGCAACAGCTAACTCAGATCTCATCTCCTCTAGAAAACCTGGAAAATATTTTCCTTCTTTTATTTATTTACTTGAAGGGCAGAGTGACAGAGAGAGAGAGATCTGTCTTCTGGCTCATTCCCCACTGGCCACACAGTCAGGGCTAGGCCAGGCGGAGCCATGAAGCTGGGAACCACAACTCCCTCCTGGTCTCCCATGAGAATGGCAGAGGCCAAATACCCGAACCGTTGTTTTCCCAGGCTCATTAGCAGGAAGGTGGCTCAGAAATGGAGCTACCAGGACCAGAATCAGCACTGCTACAGGGCATGACAGCATCATAAGCTGCATCTTATTTTTTTTTTAAGATTTATTTATTTTTATTGGAAAGGCAAATATACAGAGAGGAGGAAAGGCAGAGGAAAGACAGAGGAAGATCTTCTGTCTGATGATTCACTCCCCAAGTGAGCACAACAGCCAGTGCTGTGCCGATCCGAACCCAGGAGCCAGGAACTGCTTCCAGGTCTTCCATGTGGGTGCAGGGTCCCAAGGCTTTGGGTTGTCCTCCACTGCGTTCCCAGGCCACAAGCAGGGAGCTGGATGGGAAGTGGAGCTGCCAGGATTAGAACTGGCACCCATATGGGATCTTGACGTACTCAAGGTGAGAACTTTAGCCACTAGGCCACCGCGCTGGGCCTCATAAGCTGCATCTTAATGCAACATATCACAGAACTCTTCTTTCCCTGAGAGGTGAAGGGTGTGTAGCTGAATCCTAGCACAACAGCATGGGGATGGTGTGTAACAGCTCTTACCCCGGATTGATCTACCGGTCTGTCTCTCCTGTTGGCTTACAACATCCTAAAGAAAAACAACTTTAGGGCTGCATTGGGGCCTGCAGATGACATCTGGTACCACAACAAAGGAAGAAAAAACAGAACAAATTGGACAAATACCCCAGCCAAATGATGACAGCAAATATCTGGGTGAATGGAGACTCTATGTCAGCCAATGGACATTGGAAGGGTTTCCTCATGCTTGGACTGGCAGGATTGACAGCATTACAGAATTATCTCAAGCACCTGGGAAGAACCCTTGGAGTGTATGCCACATCAGGACCCTAGGTTGATGTCCTGTGGCGGTTCCCCATCCCTGGGTACTGGAGTAGCTGGGAAGTTGGGTGTGGCTTCTCCCCTTATTCCACCCACCCCCTCAAAACAGGAAGAAGAAATAGAATCTTGGAAACAATGATTTTAACCCACTTTTCCCTAACCCTCAATCCTTCCCACCCTGATCAACTATGTAAACATCATTTTTAATTAAAAACAAAACAAAAACAAGAACACTTTGGGGCTAGCACTGTATCATGGTACATCCTGCCTCTGTCTGCCATGCTAGCATCCCATATGGGTGCTGGTTCCTGTCCCAGCTGCTTTGCTTCTAATTCAGCTCCTGATACGGCCTGGGGAAAGATTGGCTGGCCCTGGCCTCTGGGCTCCATGTGAGAGACCCAGAAGAGACTTCAGGCTTGTGGCTTTGGACCAGCCCAGCACCAGCCATTGTTGCTGTTTGGGTCTGGGAAGTGAATCAGCAGGTGGAAGATTTCTCTCTCTCTCTCTCCTTTAAAATAAAAATAACTATTTTTTTAAAGATTTATTTTTATTATTTTTTCATTGGAAAGGCGGATATACAGAGAGGAGAGACAGAGAGGAAGATCTTCCGTCCGATGATTCACTCCCCAAGTGAGCGCAACGGGCCGATACTATGCCGATCTGAAGCCAGGAGCCTCTTCCGGGTCTCCCACGCGGGTGCAGGTTCCCAAAGCTTTGGGCCGTCCTCGACTGCTTTCCCAGGCCACAGGCAGGGAGCTGGAAGGGAAGCGGGGCTGCCGGGATTAGAACCAGTGCCCATATGGGATCCCTGGGCATGCAAGGCGAGGACCTTTAACCACTTGCGCCACCGTGCCGGGCCCCTATTTTTTTTTTTTTTTAAAAAAAAGAACAAAAAACTTTGTGTCTTGCAAACCCCTGGATGCATTGTGGATGTTCAGCAAACGCTAGTTGAATGAATCAATGATCTAGAAAGTATTCATGGAGAAGGAAGCGAGATCTCTACCCCACTGCTAAAATTATCTTTCTTTTTTTTACATCCGAGTATTTCTAAGACCTTTCCAGTTAATGATCCACTTGACTCTCCCCAGTCTAGTTTGCTTAAATAGCTTTTCAGGTTACTTCATTTTCTTTCTGACCATGAATCGCTTCCTCTTAGAGCATCTTTAGCTCTGTCTGCCTGAAGGTCTTTTTCTCTTTTCCGTTTTTTTTTTTTTTTTAGCTGTTTTGTATATTTTTAAGAGATTTATTTATTCTTATTAGGCATATTCCAGAAAGAAGCAGAGACAGATCTTCCATCTGCTGTTTCACTCCCTAGTGACTGCATTGACGGGAGCTGAGCTGATCTGAAACCAGGAGCTCTTCCAGATCCAAGGCTTTGGGCCATCCTTGACTGCTTTCCCAGACCACAGGGAGCTGGATGGGAAGTGCAGCAGCCAGGAATATGAGATGCTGGCACGCGAAGGCGGAGGATTAACCTGTTAATCGCCGGCCCCTCCTCTCCGTTCTGCTGGGGTCCGTGTGATGGGTGTGGAAGACAGGAAGGTGTGAAGAGTATCGTTCTATTGCAGGCAAGGCCGCAAGGAACTTCCAGCTGTGTGGCAAGGCCCGGCGGATGTCTCTACCACACCTGAATGCAGCTCTGCCTCCCTTTGCATGGACACCGGACAACCCCATTGAGATTTCTGTAATCTATTTAGGCATTGTCTGCCTCTGCGGAGTTACTGTTAAAGATCAATAGGAGCTTAGAAGCTAATGTTGCTGTTGCCGTTTTTAGCCAAAGAGCTGTTATTGCTGTTAGGGCTGCATCCTGTGGCAATATGTTAATCAAGGGTGCTAACCCCCCCCTTTTGATCCTGTGCTAATCAAGGGCGTTCTGTCTTCAGGTGTAGTGGGAATCTATTCTTTCCCTCTTTCTTTGATCTTTTAGGCCCCTTCCTTCCTTGACTGTCTCAAGACCAAGCTGTAAAGTAATTGTGGTAGGAATGTGCTACTAACTGATATGCATCATCTATTGAAAACCTTTTCCTAGCCAGGTGCCAGGTGAATAGCAACCTAGCCT